GCTCAACATTCCTCTGCGCTTGTTTTGAATTGCTCTTCTGAGGTTTTGGAGAGTTTGGCAATACCTTTGAGAGTTTATTGTAGTGCCTCTTTTTCTATGGGTTTACAGTTTTTTGCAGTCAGAAACCTTATTACTGCACGCACCTCGCAGCTCGCGGGATTTTCAATTAACGCAGACATTTCAAACCGTCACAGTATCTTAACGGAGCACAGCACGAACCTCTCACTAGCACGGCTAGATGCCGACTGAGCTGCGCAACGCTCTGACCCCAAGATGACCGCGCTAGTCCCGCCCCTAGCGGACACAGACGAAAACGTAATCTAATTTCTGGATAGCCCTCGTATATAAAAAATACATAGTCAAATATAGAACGTCCTGCTCTTTGAAGCCGGTTAAAAATGTTACTTGCTGTACAATTTGCCATACAAAATTGAGAAGAAAGTAATTCACGCGTTCGCTAATTACAACTGGCACTAAACTCGTGGTAGAGACACAGAATTCAACTTTAAAACTTTAGTGGTAAGATCGATATCTAAATAAAATAAAACAAAAGTCATTTATCATTTCAAATCAATTTTTTTTAATTAATACATAAATATGACTAAATAAATATAAAGACAGGTAAGTCCATAATACAAAACGCTTTATATTTAAGTATTACAATAATATGATTTATTTGCAATATGGCAAAATGAACACATTTATTTCAAAATGCTTTTGATTACACTTGATCATTGATTATTCATTTGTGAAGGAGCATTTTCATTAGCGAACGATAGCATTATCGGTAACTATAGTCCATTTGTTTAGGTATTAACTAAATGTAAACAATCTTGAGATGTCTATTTAATTAAATATACATTTATATAATTATTTTTACTTACATTCAAATACAAAATACAATTACTCAGCTTCATATGAAATTGCATACCCATTTTTAAACCTATTGATTTGCAACGTACATGTTTCAATAAAAAGATATAACAAGATTATTTACATTTAGTTAACCTAAACAAACAGACAATAATACGATTTGTTTGATGACTTCACATCAAACATCGGATGATAGTGTTGGTTGGATCACACAGTGGACATGCTCGCTAAAGAATGCTGCACTTAAGGGTTACGAATTGCCGTAGCCAGGAAACAAGACGCTGCGATGCATTAAAACTAGCAATGCAACATAAACTCACACTTCTACCAGATAAGGGTACATTTCTTTAAACAAAAACTGTAAAAGAACTGAGAAAACCGTAAAAGAAAAAGAAGGTACTTTCTGCCTCACAGCACCTGTCGTCTGCAGCTCGTGCCGCCACGGCAATGGAAAGTGTGAATTAGGGTCTAACTACAAGGTCTATTTCATTGAACGGTAGGCAAATGCTCAGAGGTCTACTCTTTTATTACTTTGCATTCACAGTGACTAACTTGACTATAATTCCCCAAATAGAACCATATCTTTTTTCTTCCCATTACGGCCATGGTCGGTAAGAGTTTTTTTTTAATTTGTATCATGACATACTTCCTTATATACGTCAGGTTGAAGTTCAAGCAACGAAGTTACTTAGGTTCAAAGCTAAATATTAAATGTTATCTAATCTGAAATTAAATTCAACCACTTACTACATAAATAGGTACTTATTATTAAGAATTTCTTACAATTGATTTATTATATGATATATTATTTTCTGCATAAAAATTTAGCAATTTTCTTTTTACAATCCATCGTGGCTGTATGCTACCAGAATACTGACAGAGATATCACTATAATTATTGCAATGTTTATTCTATTTTATATAATACCAGAATGTTTTTTTTTACTACCATGACATTCATGCATTTATTTTAAATACTCCACTACAAATGCAATAAATAAATCTATTGTAGTCATTGACTTACAAATAAATGGACGACGGGTCTAATACAAAAACCACGACAAAAATGTCCCAAGTCAATCTATTTAAGCGTAGTGACATGTAAAGGAATATGAAAAAGCCAAAACGTTGAATTTAAATTGTAATGTCATCGCAGTACTGTCTAATTGTGCTTGCTTCGCTGTCAGTCGAACAAACGAAGACTAAAGCGTGAATCTCTGTATACGATTTTAACACCCTATAAGTTCGGACACTTTTTAGCGCGGACCCGACGTCTTATATGTAATTGTAACTCAATGATGATAAGAGTAATTTGTCTTCTAGAGGATAAACTTTATGTTACATTGTTCGTTTTGGTACATTGCCGCGTCACAGCCCGGCTGCGGCATTATGGGGCGATCCTTAGTCAACAATAATTTGACATTACATTCTAAACAATATCATGTCTATAGATATAACTAGGGTTTTCCTCAAAAGAAGGCTTATTTTAAACGTAGGCTAATAACTCAAGACGACTGCTAACCACGATACAAGAAAACATGGTCGGGAATTTAGTACCTATTGGCACACCAGAGCTCTTTTTGTAACTCATTTGTTTTACCACAGATAATACTATAGTATGGTATAGTATAGTATAGTAGTATAGTTGTAGTATAGTAGTAGTATAGTATAGTATAGTGGTATCTTGTAGTATACTACAAGATACCCAACCTCACACAAAGTAATATCGCATTCGTAACTCCTTATTCGGTCGCTTAGGTTCTCGGGTTTCTCTCGGAGAAAAGTTTAAGGAGACTAGTATCATAACTGTGGCATCACAGTACATTTACTCAAATATTTTGTAAGCCCGTAAAAATATACACAATTTCATTAAGAAAGAAGATATCCATAACATTAACCTTGGAACTAAGTCCAAAGTCCTGGTACCTACCACAATTTCGTTTAACTAAGGTTACGATTCTTTTATGGGGAATTGTATACGTCTTTACAATAAGATTCCGAAGAATATGTTAAGATTATCATAAATGATTATTTGACTTTTACTTTGCTTATTTTGATTTTTAACGCTGGTTAATAGATGGTAATAAAGAACAAGAAATACAGTAGAAATGGTTAGTTAGCGTCCAACGCGTGCCAACTTATAGGTCTCGAAAGATCTATATGAGCTAAATCTGCTATTTTCGCTTGGTATGGTACGGTTGTGTCATTATTTCGTGCAATTTCTCTAAAATCCTAGAAAAATGCCTTGTGGTGCTGTTTTGGAGTGCAAAAACGATAGCTGCACCAAAAATATTACTCGTGGTGGTATTTCACATCATCGGAAAGCCTTATTTTAATAAATTTTAAATTTTCTGTTTACCGAAATAATGTTTTTGTTACAAGAAATGAAGGTAAAGCTTATACCTCTGCAATATAATAAATAAATAACGCACACACTCAACATAGCCCTGCACTAGGGAAACCCTGTGTCGCGGGTGCCATGGACACACACATAGACAACCACAAATTACACCCAAACGCACGAGAGAAATAAATGTAGGCCATACAAATGTTTCTCCCGGCCCGGGAATCGAACCTCTGGACCTCAGCGTGGCAGTCGGGCATGATAACCGTTCGGCCACAGAGGCAGTTACGGTATAGTAATAGTAGTATATAGTCGCTTCTTTTTAGGAGAACTAAATTAATAACTCCAATTCGTCGTCGTTCAGCAATTAACAGCTAGATGGCAGCATATTGATTGAAATTCCATATAATATCAAAACGTCATAACTTGCAATAATATGTATTGATGGTATTTAACTTTCAACCATATGCCAACAGGGAAAAGTTTAAATTATATTAATAATCCGGAATATGTTATTTCTTTTTTAATTTGAAACTACGAACAATCAATATGAAGATTTTGGAGTGTTTCAAATTAAGAATGTGTGAGTTTTGGCTATATCGGTTCTGATAGTAATCAAGACTTAAGGCATTTCCATTGACTTACAATTATATGGACGTCGGGTCCGCGCTAAAAAGTGTCCGCACTTGTAAGGCGCTAAAATCGTATACAGAGCGCCAAACTCCGCTTTAGTCTTCATTTGTTCGACTGACAGCGCGATACTGCGATGACATTACAATTTAAATTTCGAATAGGTTGACTTGGGACATTTTTTTCGTGGTTTTTGTATTTATTTGTAAGTCAATGGGCATTTCCATTATTTTTTTTCTTCCATGGATGGTACCAAGTAAACCCGCGATGCGATTATAATTAGTATTCGAAAAGGCCAAAAGATGGCAGCATTTATTATTTAATTTTTTGCTCTTATTCAGGCGTTGATTTATATACAATGACATGTAATAAAATCGCAAAAAAAGCCTAGTCTGTATTTTTAATATTTTAGTTTCGAGAATAAATTCAAAGAACAGGCGGTATAATGTTTTATGTGAAGATCTTGATATATTCCACCGGAGCACCAACACATTTGGAAAAATTATAAAAAGCCCGGATTGTAAGGAAACACGTGAACACATCACAGAATAAAGTAATTTTATTTAAAGTATATACACATTTTCTGTTGACTTAGTTGGCAATATTCATTAAGTAGCAAAATGTTATTTGCATGTTGTACGCGGCTGTTATTGAGCTACAAATTTGTTTGTTTCTGGTTAGTGTCATAGATTTACTTGTATTATATAATTCGTATCTTGTAACTGTGCCAAAATAAATAAAAAAAAAAACGCCATCTACACAATTTATTGCTAACTAACTAATCAAACTAACCATTTGGAAACCTGCGGCTTGATATTTTTTTCAATTATATTTTACAGTTTTCACATTCCTAAAATGTGATTTGAATAATCTTGCGTTTCTTTTTTATATTTTACACTTCTTATTTTACAGTCTTTTATTTTGTTCAGGTGCCGCCATCTGCAGTTCTAAATATGAACTTTTTGCATTGAGAGCTGCAATTTATCAAAGCTACACTAAATTCTAGTGGTAACAGACGTCATCTAGATGGCGCTTATTGCATATTTTTTTATGGACACTGCCGGCTATTCTTTTATTTTGTTTAGGATTAGCGCCATCTTATGGTAGGTAAATATTTATATAACTCTAATAATGAATATTAAAGAGGAATTAATTAATATCCACGGCTATTTACATAATAATATAAACTGCTTCCAGGTTATTGATCAGCGCCATCTAGATGTAGGACGGGAATTTGATCTTTTTCAGAGTCACAATCCTTAGTATGGAGTTTAACAGTCCTTTTGAGTCATTGGCCCATGGTTTAAATCAATTATTGAGCATATTTCTGAATAAAAATTTCATGTTTTATAACGTGTGTGAAACTTGTCAAAGTGAATGCGTTGCAATCATTTTCGTTTTTTGGTGCTGTGGACACTAAACCACGAAGGTAGAACCGCTCTATACCGCGGTCTTTATTGGGGAACACTAGGCCGCCGCCGCTGTCACCTTTGCATAGGGCTGTACCTATAAAAAAAATAATAAAAGAAAATTATTTCGCCGTTTAACTTAATTAGAAAAGGTTTCATGACCACCGTAAACGTATAGGTAACGACTTCCGCGAATAAATGTAAAAGTTAAAAGAAAATGGCGGCTTTCTGTAGTTACAGTTTTTGCATGAATAAATTTTTAGTTTAAATATAATGGATACCAATTGACAAGTTTTGATTTTATTTTAACCGACTTTATTTTTATTTTTTATTTTTCGACTGTATTTTGTTTTTGTAGTATGTATTTCAATAAAACTCTGCAAATGGATGTAATTCCACGAAATTTTGAGGTCAGTTTTTTTAGTACTCTGTTACTGAGATTATTTAATTTACCAAGTAACGGAACTAACGACTCGTGCCTATGTCACATGCATTCCAGGTTACTGCTTTTTTTATTTCTTCACTATAAGACATTACAAAAAGATAAACCGATTCTTATCATGTTTAGCATAGTTGTGTAGTAATGTGGTAGTAAGCTACATGCCTACCCATTACAGTTGCAGTGTAAGAGATCTTAGGGGCACTGCGACTACGCCCATCACTTTGAGACACAAGTTAACAAGTCCCATGTGCCTGGAATTTCATTAGCACCCTACCCTTCAAACCCGGAAAGCAGTAATTCTTACATTACCTAATGCTTGGCGGCCAAAATATATCTACAGATAAGTACAAGGAGTGAAATGGAGTGAATAAAACCACCAAATGCTAATTATTAAATGAAAAAATGATAGCTGAAGCCATTGGCTTACAATTATATGGACGTCGGGTCCGCGCTAAAAAGTCGGACACTTGTAAGGCGTTAAAATCGTATACAGAGCGTCAAACTCCGCTTTAGTCTTCTTTTGTTCGACTGACACCGCGATACTGCGATGACATTACAATTTAAATTCAACGTTTTAGCCTTTTCATATTCCTTTACATGTCACTACGTTTAAATATATTGACTTGGGACATTTTTTTCGTGGTTTTTGTATTAGACCCGTCGTCCATTTATTTGTAAGTCAATGGCTGAAGCAGAGGCTTATTTTTCAGTTTGACAAAAAAAAAAATTGTTTAGAGATTGAAGAAATTGGAATATGGCTGGTCAACAGTTAAAACGAGATTGTTGGATCCCGGCTAAATCCGTCTCAAAATGGACCAGACTTCACTTCAATGAAACTCGTAATCTTCCGTTTATTGAAGCTTCTTATTCTTAAGCAGATTCTATACACTTCTATTCTTGATTGAACACTATAACCGCGCCGCGGACGCCTCCCGGCCAATCAGAGTCCCTAAATTATTTACGTAATTCTACTCATATTGCTCTGACCGGCCAGACGCGTACAGCCGTCCGTAGCAGAGATTATGTAGAAAAATAAACCATATTAAAAAAAACTGTTTTTCCTCTTCTCATAGTCATGGACTTATTAAGTACACCGCACTCGTATAACCGACCACCGTTTATAACATTTCATGAAACCGTGGAACACGACTCGTTTAAGAAACGGACAAACTTACCATTACCATACCCAGCGCAAATCTTGTCACTAGAGATGAACTCCCTGAAACTCAGCGGTACTCTGTTGAGACACTCTTCGATATCCACATAGGGCAATTCCACCACTTTAAGGACTTGAGACGCCGGTCCGTTTTCCCCTGTTAGACCCCAGCCTGCCACCTATAAAAAAAATAACACATTAAAGAGATTTTCTGTATGGCTACCTAGTGTATTTGCCCGAAGCAACTGCGGGGTACTTGAGGGGAGTCGGGCGGCGCGGGCCGCATCCTGCAAACACGCTTAGTTTTAGCGATACGCGATCGCGAATGCTTTTAATATTAGACTAGTTAGTAATTATTAATCCTGTCTTTCGAATGATAAATTAGTAACCTATTAATATTCTTAGTTGAATGATCGAATAATCATTCGTTACTAATTAGCCATTAACTCTCAGCGCCATAGAAAAAAACGATTTTTCTGAAGCAGCAGACCACGTGGGCGGCACGCGAGAGACGCATTTTTTCACAGCATGCCACGCCTGATCTTTAGTAACAGCAAGCCACGCCTGATGTCGAGTAACTTTTGTAGCAGGCCTAGTGGGCTGCCGGCGGGACACCTTCAAACTTTACCAGCAAGCCGTGTGTTACGCCGTGATTTCACCAAAAACAGACGGATGTCACCACTGGGGACGAAATCGATACTTGATTACATGCGACCCACATGGCGCTGAGAGTATTACCACCCTGTGTATTTAAGACGATCTCTGTGGTCAAGTGGCTTGCATACCGGTTTTCATAGTGTTGACATCTCTGAGGTCCCGGGTTCGAATCCTGGCCGTGTCAATGAGTAAATTACCTTTTCTTTTTTTTTATAATACCAAGTGACGGGACCAACAAGTCCTGCGTCTGGTGGTAAGCGACACGCCTGTCCATAACTGTTGCAGTGCCACTTAGAGCTGGGCACTGCCACTGTGACTCGTCACCCAGTGACATAAGTTGACAAGTCCCATGTGCCTGTAATTTCACCAGCATCCTAACCCTTCCAAACCGGAACGCAGTAAAGCTAACATTACTGCTTGGCGGCAGAAATACGTAAGGTGGCAGTACTTCCCTGGACAACTCTTTCAGAAGGAGCTCTACTGTTGCTAAAAATATTTAAGCCATTTTTTCCGCCTTTTGGATTTAGATCATCATAGCGACATCTCTTTCCATTTGTTTAAACTAATTTGTATATCCCTTTTATCGATTCAGAGACTATAGTCTGGGCTACGTCACTCGTAAGAGGTTACTCGATAAATGCCTACCGCTGAGTGTATCGCCGACAGTGCAAGCGCTCAGACAAGTCTTTCATTTACATTACAATCCTTGTACAACCCCAGCATTCGGTTCCGCACGACTGCACACGTTATTTTCACCTCTCTGAGCGGGTGCTTAGGTTCCATTTTCCTCGTAGTGAGCGCCTGGTGTCATTAGTTAGATTTAGTAGGCTATTATGGCGTGAAATTTGTGAACCGATTTTGATGATATGATTCTTTTTTTGTTAGAAAGAGGGTAATCCGGTTTCGCGCACTTTTCGGTAACCGTTTTCTATAAACACTTGGCAAATAGATGTATGTAATTCCACGAACTTTTAAGGTCGTATTTTTACTACCCTGTATTGAGATTATATACAGTTCCACCATAACCGATACTTTAAGAAAAGAACTTACTTTTCCCAACTTCCCGCTCTGCAATTGTGTACTGTCAAAGTTTGGATCGAAGTTCAGACATACAGGTCTGACGTAGGTTTTGTATTCAAATGCTTGAGTCAACCGCAATATGGCGATGTCCTCCTGGAAGTTGGTGGAGGCGCCTTGGAATCGTGGTGGGACTCTGATCTCGTTTACCTGGAATTGAGCAAAGCGGAAGGATGAGTGAGTGGATGTGTTGTGGGCCTAAGCTAATTTTTTTAAAGAACCAATTGTAACTAATATATACTTTGTTTCAATCCATTTTGAACAAAATGTGAACAAACAAGTCACTGACCCGACCATAGACGGTTTAGTAATGCCAACTACAAATCGATTAATTAATTTAATGAATCGATTTTTTTCAATTGAGTCTTACTAACGGTTTTCCCTACGTAACCTATGTATGCATATTTAAATTTTCTGAAATCTTCCCTCCTTCAAAACATTACACTTAGATACTCGTTCTTAGATTGAAATTTTCGATTTACTAATCTATTACATAAACTTTAATGGAATGAACCGAATGTTTTTTTTTCGTACAGCATCATGCAACCATGGACAAGTCATAGATGTATAGATGAAAATTAACCTCACTTTTGGACTACCATTTTTCAAATACGATTTTACGATGCTATTCAAATGAATATTGTTGGAAAAAGGGATGAGATATCAAGTCAAAATCTTCAGATATACGTGATATACGTGTGTTACTCATTCGATATATTGAGTGATTGCTTTAGAAATTTGACCAAACAGATTTATTCACTATGTTGAGTACACACGTTATTATTATTATTATACGTGCGTTCAAGATGTATTGTAGCAGATTATAGTAACACTTTTCTCACATTTCTACGAATATTAAATTAAAAATTCATTGGTCGAAATAGGTTTTATTAATTAATGAGTGTCCTGATTTATCTAACGTGACCATGGCCCAGAGCGGGACGTCTAGAATAATGTCAAAATCATAATTAAAATAGTTCGTTAGCGTCTTCAAATGTCTTAATTACAAGTTTGAATAAAATAAATTCACTAGGTTTTTCAAGTTATAATAGCAGCCTATCTAAGTCTGTAAATAAAATCATATTTAAAAAAGAACTCTAATGACTAATTAGTATGTAACCGGACTAATATCTACAACTGCTGCCAGTTTTTTAACATAGAGCGACATCTAGTCGCTAAAAAAAGAATTTCAGTACATACGTATGGATATATATGGTCAACATTAAGTTAGTTCGCGTAATATCAAATGTAATTGATTTTTAATAAGGGATTAACTACTTCATTACAAAAAACAAAGTAGATAATTCCTCCTTCAAAATGCCACGCGAGAAAATGGTAAAACAGACCAAAAGAGTTTCCGAAATCAGGGATAGGTGACACGTTTAGCAAAAAAATAATTTGTGTCCGAGTTGCCAGTGCAATAGTCTATAGTATGTATTAATTAACTCAGTTTTTTGTTTGATCTCATTCATTAAGTTAATTGAGAAATTAAAAAAAACTAATTGAAATAATATATTATGTAATATTTTTCTTTATCGAACCATAACTTCGAAACTATCACTATTGTACGTTTACGTATAACATTGAACTTTGCTACATTGACATGGTCTAGTTCTAGTTTTATTGTACTGTAGTAAGATGTGCCAGTTCTAGTTATTTTGTTGATGTGGTAAATCGTATTATGACATTTTACTGCATTTCTAAGACAGTTAGTTACCAACACCTAAACAATAAACATCAATAACAATGAACATTTAACATTAACTTATTTAAAACATCACAAACAACATTACTTTTACACTTATTCTTTAATTCCATTAACTACTCCGAGAACACCGTCGTGATAACGGTCACCGCGTCGCGATCACGAGGTAACATCCTGTAAGATATTTATATCCCAAAAACGCTGAACGACTCGTGAGAGAATGGGCCTAGTGATCTGTAACACAGGTCCCCAACCTAGTACAGGAACTTGTTACGAAATGTAACTACTTATAAACCTCTCTGAGAGAAATAAAGCATTTTGTATACCTAGTATTATTATCATTGTCCCTAACAGTTGCAGTACCACTCCGAGCTGCGAATGACAAAGATCGGAAAGACATTGCCACTACACCTGTCACCCTGACACATCAGTTGACAAGTCCCATGTGCCTGTAATTTCACCAGCACTCTTACCTTTTCAAACCGGAACGCAGTAATGCTCACATTATCGCTTGGCAGCATAAATAGGTAATTTTCTTTACTTTTTTTTAGACCCTCACTAGGAAGATCCTATATCCTATACCATGGATTCACACACAGACAACCACAAATTACACCCAAACTCAGTAGAGAAATAAATATTTCTCCCAGCCCAAGAATCGTACGTAGCCCAAGAAGTAACCGTACGGACACGAAGGCAGTCAAACTGGTAAGACAGTACTTACCTGGACGAACTCTAGAATTAGTGTGGGTCGTTATTATTATTCACTCTTACATCGGATTTCTGAGCATGTTTGTCATTGGGGTCGTTCCACGGGCGGTAAATTTTGCCGACAGCTACGGCGTAGTTCTCGGCTGGCTGGAGTTTCCCCACATCCGTCCAAAAACAGTGGGCCGCTGCAAGTTAATTTAACTAATTTACAAAAATAATAAAGCTACATGTGAACACACGTCAAAAGTACTTTCATCAGATGAAATCTTACGTGTTCTTATCCTACTTTCATTTTGTGTAATCATATTACATATATTTGTTATTTATTTATTTTTATTTATTTAAGTATTTTATTTATTTATTACTATTATTTTGGATGTCTGTTTTAGACTATTTTTATTATAATTCTTATTTTTTCATTTGTGTATGTGCAATATGACGTGTATCAAATGCTCGTAAGCCAGGGACCACTCCCGCGCGCCTACCCTCTCTTCTTGCGTAGTATACACGTGACACAAATCTCACAATCGGTTTCATTTTAAACTAAATAAGTTCTATTTTGTTTGTTGTAAATGTTGGACACTAAATTACATACACTTATCACTGTATATATGTATCAGAATCATTATTTAAGTATTCTATACATATAACTGAACACAACACACTACATTATAGAAATATTTATGTGATTTATTTAAGTTTACTCGTATATTCGCGACACACACGTCCGGTACTCACTCGGTTTTAGGGCCCACTGAAAATCAGCGTCACAGCCTTTTCTCGGTGGTGACAATAGCTGAGTGGGATCCTGTTACATACGCCACAGCCGCGCATATGACATTTAATCTAATTGTGTTAAATATTTAATGTTTGCTTTGTTGTTGTGTATGGTTTTATTTTTATTCCTTTTTTCCTGTTATTTTTATTTAAATTTTTTGTTTTAATGTAGCTTCATCTTTTTTTATCTTCATTTTATTACTGTGTATATTTTTGTTGTGGCGTAGTAATAAACGATTTCAATTCAATTCTATTCTATTCTATTCTATTCTAAATATGTATATTGTTGCGCCCTCAATTAATTACTATCTTACAGTTTCTCCTGTAACCCGAAGGTTGCCTGAAAGAGATTTCTATATGACAATAAGGCCGGCTGTTGTACCCGTCTTTTTATTTTTTATATTATTTTGTATAAGTATTTGTGCTGAATAAATGTGTTATCTATCTATCTATATGTATCGGTGTGCAATAAAGAATATTTGTATTCTATGATGAAAGTCATAAAAATAATAGGGACTACATATTATGTATCTATTATCAGTAGTATCTGTAATTTCGATAATTTTTGCAGTACGTTGCCTCGAACGTCCGAATATAGTGAGCAAATAATTACATACATCGCCTGATATGTAGTACGAGTAATACAAAATAATATATAAAATAATTAACAGTGCGCTGTCTTTACAAAAACCTGGAGTTGGTCATACGTACGAGTTCGTTGCTTTCGAGGACGAAGATGGTCTAGTTTATCCCACCTACGATGCTATCCAAATATGCAGAGTATTAGAGTTAGAAATCCGAGAAATGATAAACAAATCACAAAAATTTCACACGAGGCCTTCATTAAGTCAATCTGTTTTAATTAATAAGATTTTACCATATTTTGTCAGCAGTTACATTTTTATTTGTCTTGCCATTCGTCAATTTGATCAATTACCAACAGAAAACCATCTAGTAAAATAATTAGGGCAGTCGCAAGCTCATATATTGACACGCGATTTCATTATTTAAGTTAATCGATAAGATCTTCTATTACAAAAAGATGTTATATAATAAGCTCATTTTACTGGAAGGACCATTGACTTACAAATAAATGGACGACGGATCTAATACAAAAACCACGAAAAAAGTGTCCCAAGTCAACCTATTTAAACGTAGTGACATGTAAAGGAATATGAAAAAGCTAAAACGTTGAATTTAAATTGTAAT